CATCAGTAAAATGAGGTTGGATTAAATGGCCTCTGAGGTCCCATCTGGATCTAAATCCATGATCTGATCCTTTAACTCTCTGGATCTCATTTCCTCATCTGTAAAATGATGCCATCGGAGGGGATGTCTGGGGAATGGCTGAACAAGTTGTGGTATATGACTGTAACGGAATGCTGCTGTGCTATAAGAAATGACGAGCAGGATGAGTTCAGAAAAACCTGGAAAGACTTACACGAACTGATACAAAGTGAAGTGAGCAGAACCAGGAGAACCTGGGACACAGCAACAGCAATGTTGTGTTATAATCAATTGTGAAGGACTTAGTTATTCTCAATAATACAATGGTTCAAGACAATTCCAAAGGACTCGTGAAGAAAAAATGCTATCCACCTCCAGAGAAAGACATGATAGAGTTTGAACGCAGATCAAAGCATACTATTTTCCACTTTCTTTATTTTTTCTTTTTTGGGTTTTTCTTTCACAATATGACTAATATGGAAATGTTTTGCATGACTGAACATGCATAACTTACATAAAATTGCTTACTGTCCCAGGGAAAGGGAGGTGAGGTAGGGGGAGAGAATTTGGAACTCAAAATTAAAAAAAAAAGTGTTAAAAATGTTTTTACATTTAATTGGGAAAAATAAAATATTATTCAGAAAAATGATAGCAACCATAGGATCAGGGATTTAAAGGTTAAAGGGACACCCTAGAGGCCATCAATCTCAACCCTCTAATTTCACAAAAAAGGAAACTGAGGCACAGAGAAGTTAAGTGACTTGCTCAGAGTCACAAAGTTAGTAAGTATCTGGGACAGAATATGAAACTAGGTCTATCTGACTCCAAGTCCACTGCTCTATCCACTATACCATATTGCCTTATGATGGACTTAAACTAGATGGTTTCTGAGGCCCCTTAAACTCAAAATCTCCAATGCGATGAGCTCACTGGATTTCAGTTTCTTTTTCTTTTTTTTTGCTTAGGCAGTTGGGGTTAAGTGACTTGCCCAGGGTCACACAGCTAGTAAGTGTCAAGTGTCTGGTCTGAAGCCAGATTTGAACTCAGGTCCTCCTGACTTCAGGGCCGGTACTCTATGCACTGCACCACCGAGCTGCCCCAGGGCTTCAGTTTCTTCATCTGTAAAATGAGAAGGCTGACCTCTGAGGTTCCTCCAACTCTAAATCCATGATGCTACCTACTCTATATGAAGCTAGACATCCCAAGAGAACTCTAGGGAAAAGAAGAGTTTTCCCTACCCTTTGAAATCTTTCTCCCTATGAGCCAATGAAAAAAGGAAGACTGAACAGGGACTTCAAATTAGTTTTAAGAAGTTAGGAATGGTTAGCCAGAAGGGTTATTTCTACTAGTTTAGAATAATATGATTTTAAAACTATTTTCTAGCTCTAAATTGGAAACTAAGGAGTACCCATAAATTGGGGAACATCTAAACAAATATGAATGTATATGAATGCAATAATAACAACGTTCCGTAAGGAATAATGAAAGGGACAGCTTCAGAGAAAACTTGGAAGATTTTTATGAACTGATCCAATGCCAAGTAAGCAGACCCAGGAGAGTAACTGTACAACCACGACATAGCAAAGACAAACAACTTTATATGCTTTAAGAACTCTGATCAATGCAAAGACCAACTATGATTCCAGAGGACTGATGACAATGCAAATACCTACTCACTGACTGAGAGGGTGATGAACTCAAGATGCAGAATGAGACACACATTTTTGGACATGGACAATGTAAGAATTTGTTTTGTATGACTATGCTTATTTGTTACAAAAGTTTTGTTCTAAAAAAAAAAAGAAAAAAGTTTTGTTTTTCTTTTAAATAAGGGATGGGAACTGGTAGGGAGAGAAAATAAATGCTTGTTAAATGAACAAAAAAAAAAACCTGCTTTCTTCTCCACATTAGTAGATGTCTCCCAACATCCTTTTTTAAAAAAAAAAAATTCCACAGAGCACTAATCTGGTAAAAAACATTCTACATTTCTGTTCCCCTGAGGTACTGGGTACCAATGGCATTTTCTGTGACTACCCTGAGGAGAACAGTACATCATCTCTCTGGGCCTCTGTTTCCAGTTAAAGATGTTAAGTGGAAGAGAGTAATGCTGGCCCTCGCCTGATAAAAGGCAATCTGGAGATTCCCAAAAGAAAAAGTGCTTTATGCTCCCCTAATTAATTACTATCATTATTGTTTAATGGAAATACAGAGAGAGGGAGAAGAAATCCCTGAAGGGGGAGGATGGGGAGAGAAAAATGATGAAAATGACTGAACATTTCACTTTCTCCAAGGACTTAAGAAAAAAAAAATCACCCTAAGTAATGACATTTGGCCCCTAAACCTGGTCTAAATGTGTCACATTGTGGGAGAGGGCACGAAGGAGGGAGGAGAAGAATGTCCGGGGCGGTATCTGAAGAAGAAATGTGATTCAGAGAAATGAGGCAATACTTTGTAAGAAAACTAGACAAGCCACTCCTCCCCCACTTCAAAACTCCAGTGGACAGTACAGAGAGTTGGGGGTGGGGCAGCGGGTGGGAAGGGAAGTCAGAGTTTACATTCATATGCATGTTAAATGCTGTTTTATGCCACATGGCCAGGCCTGGGCCCTCTAAACCTGAGTGTGAGCGGAATAGTAAGTGGCATTGGAGGTGTCTGCCATTCACAAGGGCCTGAATAATAGAGGGGCCTTCTTCCTCCCCATTCAATCCATGGTGTGATTGAGAGAGTTGTTCTTCTGTTTACCATTAACAAGAAGGAGAAGCACTTTGGTTCCTGCTTTGGTTGATCAGGGCTGTCCCCTCAAGTCTGTGAAGGTTCCTTATGGGGATGAAAGGTACTCAGGGAGTCAGCACAGGACTTGGGGGACAGGAAGACCTAAGTTCAAAACAGGCCTCAGATACCAGCTACATCATTGATCCTGGGCTAGTCACTTAACCTCTGTCTGCCTCAGTTTCCTCAAATGTAAAATGGGCATAATAATAGAAACTTTTATTGCTATTATTGTCAGGTTGTTGTGAGGATCAAATGAAATAATATTTGTAAAGCACTTCCTTAACCACTCTGGGCCTCAGTTTCCTCATTCATAAAATGATCTCTAATATTCCTTCTGGCTCTTCATGTATGATTCTAGAGCCATAAGCTTTTAGGGTAAGGAGTTCACGTACCTCCCAGCATGGGAGAAACCAGAGCTTTGCTAATTTTTCTAAGGGCTATGTCTGGATTTCACATAAGGCTGGCCTTACGTCCTGAATGAGGGCAGTTTAGATGGGAGTTCCAGTAAAAGAAGGTGCAGTTGTTAATAAGGACTTCTGTGGCATCACTGGTCAAGTCTTGCTATGATGAAGACCACATCACTGACTGAATTCTTCTGTTGTTCTGAAATTTTCCTGTATCCAAAAACCCTACTTGTCTGGATACAAGCCACATTCTTCCAGGCCTGATCCAGTAAGCCTGGTCTATCTGTAGTTCTTTGAATATGACAATTCATCTCCTGTCTCCATGTTCCCCATGTCTAGAATGATCTCCCTTTGAGACTCCAGACTTCCTTTAAGACAAAGGTAAAAGCACACCTTCTCTGTGAGTTCTCCCAGTTGGTAATGCTTTCTCCTTTTATATTACCTTCTATCTTCTCTGTATAGATCTTTTATGTACCAAGTTATTTACATGTTGTCTCCCCATAAGAATCTATGCTCCTTGAGGGCAGGAACTATTTTTGCTGTTCTTTGCAAGCACAAGTAGTAATCCCTTCAAAAATACTTGTTGACTGACTATCCTTAATCCAGGTTGTGGAAAACCTTTATGCAGTTAATAGTTGTGCTCTCCCTAATCAATCAAAGCATTTATTAGGCACCGAGTAAGTGCCAGGGACCGGGGAAACAACTGGAATGAATGAAACAGTCCCTGTAGATTTCAATATAATGTATATTGTTTTAATGCACTATATTTCTCAAAATGAATGGCCCTTCACATAGAGCTATTTTAACCCTATGAATGTTTATGAAATTGAATTTATCATAAAAGGATTTGATCTGTTAGAATCAATACTGTAACAAGGAAAACTACAACTGGCTGGAAATCAGAGGTTGGCTCTAGCAGGTAACCAACTGTAACCTTGGGTAAGCCATTTATCCTCTTTGCTCAGCTTCTCCACTGTTTACTACAGCTCAATCCCTTTTTTGTCACAGAAATCCTGTGAGGCTAAAAGGCAATTCCATTCATTAAGCATATTAAGCACCTATTGCATATAAAGCTAAGACCCAGAGATACTTCTCTGTGCAATGCACTGTGTTAAATGCTAAGGATTCAATGATGAACTAAGAAAACTATGTTTTTTCCTATCAAGAGGACAACAATCAAAGTGATGAAGATTAAGAATCTTAAAATCTGAGGCAGTGAGGTAACCTAGCAGAAATAGGACACAGCCCCTAGCCCTCAAGGAGCTTAGACTCTAAAAGGGGGGATAAGACATGCACGAGCAACTATGATAAAAGGAAGAATGTGATGAATGCAAATGGTCCAAAGTGAGGAATTTTAGAAGGGAAAGATGACTTTCCCCCGGGAAGGGAGAGGAAGTCAAAGGATGAATAGCACAGAACCTGGACCTAGTTGGAAGAACTTGAACAGGCAGAGGTGGGCAGGGAAACTCCATTCCAGAAATGGTATAGACAGAATGAGTAAAGGTCCAGAGACAAAGGACAGGACAAGAAGTGGGCTAAATAAGATAGATTATGGAGGGCTTTGAATGCCAACGGGATGTTGTCACATAAGACCACATTTGTATTCTAGGCAAAAAAGTGTTTTTAGTTCTTAGGAAGAAAGTACCCCAGGACTATAAAGTGCTTATTAGTTTCTTCTAGTCTGCTAAGTACTTTGCAATTACTTTCATTAGCTCTTCAAATACTGACTGCATGTTCCACTCAGTCTAGACCACCCCCTAATAAAAGGCTGCCAATTATAACCTTCTAGTGAAGACTGCCACTCACCGTCACAACAACATACAAGCACCAGACCAAGGAGCTGAGATGAAAGGCTACCAGCTGTCCAGATTCATTGAACTTGCTGTGTTTGACCTTGGAGAGATGAAGTCGTCTGCTGATTTTCTAAAGGAAAAAAAGAAAAACATGAACATACAATTTCTATCTCCTTCCCACAAAATACTAATAATATTAAAAGAGTAAAGCAAGCCTTGATCCAAGAACTAACTTGACATGCATTTATTAAGTACCTATTGGGTACATTCAAGTCATATTCTATGCCAGGCCAGACACAAGCATCTTGGGGGAATCTGTAGGATCTAGACTGCTTTGTTTAGACACAGGAACATAAATAACTCCCCATACTTAGACTGTGACTTAGATAAAGCCCGTGTCTCATATTTCTCTTATACTCCTCTTCTTTTAGTATATATTAAGTGTATACTAAGGGCTCAGTGAATACTTATATACTTGGCCCCGAAGAAGATATGGGAAAATATACCTCCCTTCCTTCTTTGCAGAAGTGAGGAATTACGTGTACAGAATAAAGCCTATACTGTCCAACTTGGCTGATGTATTGATTAGTTTTGTTGAGCTGCTTCAATTCAACAAATTCTCTTTTTATTCTTTGTTATAAGGGATGGCTCTCAGGGGAAGGGAGGTGGGAAGGCATATATTTGGAAATGAGAGTGATATAACAACAAAAGCTATCTATGACAACCCATATAAACAAAAGTGCTTTGGGGTCTTCAATTTTTAAGAGTTATGTTTGAGAACCACTGATGTAGACTAACTTCTTCATTTTACAGAGAACACTGATAATCTAAGGTTAAGTAATGTTCTTAGGCGCACATACCTACTAGTAAGTTTTAGGGTGGGGCATGAATCCAGGTCTTGCTGGCTTACAAGTCCAGCACCGATTGGATTACAATGAATCTGCTAACTTGAAGGGGCTATAAGATGGAAAAGAGACTGGGGTGATTGGCAGGAAGTAAATAACAGGACTGCATACATCTACACCAAGGTAGATCAAGATCAAGAAAAGAACTTCCTTGGTAAGAATGATGACCAGGAGGGGAGATGGGGCTTTTGTTCTGGTAATTCTTAGTTGGAACAATGCATGACCATCAAATAAGCCTATCAACCAAGGTCATGGGTCTGTGGGACTAAATGATTGCAACCTGCATATGGGAGGATGAGTGGTAGGGGGTAGTGAGACACTGGAGTGGGAATCCAATTATCCAATTCAAACTTGTCAGGGTTCAACCCAGGTGGAGAGTACTGGAATACAAACTGAACCAAACTTCCAATGTCAGAGTCCCAGGGATGGGTAACACTTACATCCAAGATGTACTCCTGTACCACGGCATGCAGGATGATGGTGATGAAGATGTAAAATAAGATTGTGACCAGATCCTTCAGCCCATAGTGATACTGAACAGTTTCGCTTTCTGTGGAAGGAACAGGAAACAAATCAGCATGCTTGGTGTTAAGCCTGCTAGTCTCAGAGGAATTCTGAGGATCTTTGGTTTAAGTTTTCTGACAAGAACTCATTGTCCCTTCCTTTAAGCAATATGCATTCTGGAAAAGTGCAGTGATTCTAATTTAGTGGGTGATTTTTCTTGATTCCAAGATAGCCACTGGAGACTTGTAGGGATGGCCTTCTGGGAAATGTAGACTGAGCTCTCCAGAGCTATTCCAAGTTATAGGGTGGTCACCAATTACCTTGAGCACAGTCCTAAGGAAAGTCAACTGTGGTAGACCCTCTATGATGGCTACATGCCTATAAAGCGAAGGAGACTTGGAATCACAGAATTTTAGAAGTAGAAGCACCGGCCATTGGAGAATGGCAGAAAAAAATTATGGAATATGAATGTAATAGAATATTATTGTGCTGTAAGAATGAGATGTTAAACTCACGGCCCTCTGTAATGCAACCTGAATCAGATTAAAATGTAATTGGGAGATGTTTTATCAAAATAAAAATGCAATACAACATTAAAAAAAAGAGTAGAAGGAACCTCAAAGGTCACTGAGCTCAACCCATAACTGAAAGAATCACCACTACAAAAATAATAAAAATAGCTAGCATTTATATAATACCTATTATGTGCCAGGCACTGTGCTAAGTGCTTATATAAATATTATCTCATGTAATCTTTACAACAACCCTAAGAGGCAGATACTATTATCATCCCCATTTTAAAATTAGGAAACTGAGGAAAACAGAGGTTAATTGACTTACTCAAGGTCACATAGGCAGTAAATATCTAAGGCCAGACCTAGATACAGCTAACAAGTGGGTCCAGAAGATAGGAACCTGTTGTATGACACCTCTATCCGCCCCCCTTTACCCCGTCCCCAGTTCAACACTCTCACCCCACCACCATTCCCATCCACGTCCTGGAAGTCCATTCCACTTCTGGAGAGCTCTGATTTTTAGGAAGTTTTTGCTGACACAAAGCCTAAATTTGTCTCTGCAATTTCCACCCATTCAGTGCTCTGAGCACTTCCCTATGGGAACAAGCAGAATGAGTCTGACCCCAAGTCCCAGGAACACCATACCATTGGAGCAGTTTTGCTGTCCCTGCACTGGGAAATGATTCATATCCCTAGTCTGGCAGCAGATCAGAGTGGTTCCTAATTTTTGGTCTCCTGTGCTTGGTTCTTTGCTGTCTTTCTGTAAATAAACATGATCACACTAATTTAACCTAGTTTTTTTCAATTTTACCTATTCTTCTTCCTACCCCCACCCCACCACTGGGAAAAATAAAAGAACACAAAATGCTCATAATAAACACGCATAACCAGAGAAAATAAATTCCTACACCATCCGTGTCCAAAAATATATCTTATGCTACACCATGAAGTCTGTTGTCTCTGGATCAAAGGTGGATAGCATGCATCATCATTCCCCAGGGAATCATGGTTGGTCACTGCACTGATCAGAGTTTGTAAATCTTTCAAGCTTGTCTGTCTTTACAATGTTGATGTTACAGTATAAATTGTTTTCCTGGTCCTGCTCACTTCACTCTGCATCAGTTCATTTAAGTCTTCTCAGGCTTCTCTGAAGCTGCTGTTCTCATCATTTCTTACAGTACAATAGTATTATATTTCACTCATATGTAGCATAATTTGTTTAGCCATTCCTGGGTTGATTTTCCAGGAGCACCAATGGAAATATCTGTAATGAGTCCATTCTACAATTTCCTCCCTTTATTGTAACCAATGATAAGCACTGATAGTCAGAGGTTAAAGTTGGCATCAACTACCAAGGAAGAGAGCTGAAAACTTAAAAAAGATTTAATCTGCAACTTGGCCATAATAACACTGGGCTATAACTCATGGATAGCAGAGTGCTTCCTGGTATCAGAATCAATGTACATAGATTCTATCTACTGGGGTACATAACACTGTACTAGGTACCTGAAAATTTACAGATTGCTGAAGACATGGCAGGCAGCATCAGGTAATGTATAACAGAGAACCAGCCTCAGGGTCAAGAAGACCTGGGTTCAAGTCTGGCCTCTAACACAGGTTGTCTCTGTGACCGTGGCCAAGTTCCTTGCCCTCTCGGTGATGCAGGCAATTCTCTAAGACTCTTAAGTTACAGAATCAGCTGAGCTGATTTGATTAGAGGGGGTTTACTCACCAGCTATACCATTAGCTCATATATACTCATTAGCTATACCAAATGAAATCATAGGTATAGATACAACACACACACACACACACACACACACACACACACACACACACACACACCTTCTACTTAACTCTCAGTCACTGTGAGAAAAGCACTTTGTAAATCTTTTTTAAACCTTGAACTGTTATTATTAGTAAGAAGAACTAAGTCAACAAGAATTAATAAAGGGCAAACTATGTGTTAGGTACTGTGCTAAGCACTGGGAATACAGAAAAAGGCAAAAGCAGCTTCTGTCCTCAGGAAGCATCTAGTCTAATGGGAGAGAGAACACGTGAATAACTAGGTATATATACAATAAATAGAATAGATGGAAGGTAATCTCTCTTAGTATCTGGAGGGACCAGTGAAGGCCTCCTGCAAAAGGTAGGACCTGAGTAGGGCTTTGAAGGAAGCCAAGGAAGCTAGGAGGGAGAGGTGGAATGAGGCCATGTCAGGCATGAGATAGTGCAAAAGCTCAGAGAAAGGAAATTGAGATGTAAGGTGTTCAAGGAACAGCACATAGGCCAGTGTTGTTACATCTTAGAAGATGAGAGGAGAGTAAAACGTAAGGGGGTTTAGAAAGGTAGGAAGGAGTCAAATTATAAGAGCTGTAATGACAAACAAAGGACTTTTTAATTTGATCTTGGAGGTAATAAGAGAGACATGAGAATTTATTGAGTGGGGGGAGGAGTAAGGGGATGGGGGATTGGGAATGACATCAGACCCTCTCCCCCCAGTCCCAGAACCTAGCGTAGGTGCTTAATCAATGATGGTTCAATGAATGCATTTTATTCTACTCCTCCCCTTCCCCCTAACCACCCTCCCCCCCCAAAAAAAGTTTTTTGGACTTTCTATTGTTTTTTCCCATCCAGATTCCTAGAGGTAGAATTCTAATCAAGCCTGAAAGCACTTCATAAAAAGAAAAGGGAGTATGGAAAGGTGTCCCTGCTTTCCCTAACTATATCACCAAGTTGTTGTGGGCCTCAAAAGAGAAAGTATATAATATTGTCAGATATGCTTAATGTATCAGTTAGTTGTGCTGAACTGCTTCCCACCTCCCATCTTTCTTTTTTATTCTTTGTTATAGTCTATCAGTAAACATTTATTAAGCATCTACCGTATGCCAGGCACTGCCCTAAGAACTGGGGAAACAAAGAAAGGCAAAAATAATCTCTGTCCTCAAGGGACTTACATTCTTTTTTAAGAGTCTGAAGGAGGTATTTTTAATGCAAATAAAAGGAAGTAGGCTATTACAAAGTGGGAGGTAAACTTAGGGAATTCACTACTCCCATGATATGGTGCCAGCTGAAAATTAATGGGTGTTAAAAAAAAAACCATTCATTTTTATCAAAAGAAAAAAATACATATTTATATAAAAGAGTTATATTCTAAAGTGGTTTATATTCTGTAAACAACATATGAATAACTAGGCCCATGCAGAGTTGGCTGCCTGCGGGGAGGAAGGAGAGGAGAGGCAAAATGATATACTTTGAAATGACAGCAATACAAAAATTTTTAAAAGAAAATGCAAAAGAAACACCCTAAGCACTACAGAACACTAAATAAATATATGATGCTATTACTCCTAGTCCATTCAATAAACATTTATTAAGCACCTACTATGTTCCAGGCACTGCTGAAGCAAAAGAAGTCAACTCTACTGAGGGATATAACATGTCAACAAGTAAAATACAAGATGATTTAAGGATCTAGGAGAATCAGGAAAAACTTCCCACAGTCAATCTGGAAGGAGGCTAAGGATTGACTCTAACAGTAGAAATGAGGAAGAAACGCATTCCAGGCCTGGGGAACAAACAGACTATGGAAAGGCACAGATAAAAGTGACAGAAGATATAGTAAGAGCTTAATAAATTCCATTCATTCATTCGTATTGACCAATTTGGCTGAAATGGAGAGTATGTGGAGGAAAATAACATGAAATATCTAGCTAGCTAGAGGTAAGAGATGGAGCGGATAGATAACTGACAAGACTTGGCAACTGTATGTGGAGAGAAGAGGTCGAAGAGGACTGAGAATGAGAATGAGGGTGACTGGAAACGTAACTTTAGCCTGAAACCCAGAAAAACTGGCAATGGTACCATATACTCAATGAAAATTCAGTTTATCCTAAAACCTGTAAACAGGATTGTTGAAGGCTGCCTTCCCACCGCTTCCCCAACAAAGTACCTTCTGGGGACCACTCTATAAAGAGAAAGAGGGAGACAAATCTTTTTTTTTTCTCTACCTTAAGAGCTCTTTCCAAGCACCCTGTATGTAGTCAAGACCCTTTGCCTCCCCATATCAAGTTTCCACCCTCCCCAAATCTTCCAGTTTCTACCCTGCCCAGCTGATCAACTGGTCCCACCTCTACGTTGCCCTTCTCCCACCCCTATTCTACCCCTGGCCCCAACATTTATTAGTAAAAAGTGCACTTTGTCCAATTTTCCCTCCCCCGCCAGTAACAGGCAAGCAGAATCACAGGAGTAAACACCTAGGCAAATCCAGGTAGATTACATCTATTGCTTCTCCTTATCTACAAAGGCCCATCACTCTATCACAGAAAGGAATTAAATCAGTCTGGCACGATTTGCTTTTCACAAGCCATTCATTCTAGCTGCTACTTACTCAGTGTACTGTGCTTTCTTACGTTCAGTCCCCGAGATGGACTGATCATCTCATCTGCTTTGTCTATTCCTAGGCACTGTGGTCCAGGCTGGTTATTCTCTAATTACCACAGTATTTCTGGATGTCCCGGTTGCCCAGGGC